CTGAGAGGCATAGGCGTCATGAATTGAAACCTCTATAAATAGATTGGGTTTCTCTTCTTACTTATGGATTTCGACATTATATAGTGGTTAAAATCTAGGTCAAATCTTTAATTTAGTCTTTGAACTATTGTACGGACCCTCTGATTTGACTCCTAAATTAAAAAAATCTTTAATTTAATCCCTGAACTATTATACGAGCCCTCAATTTGGTCCTTACTGATTTATTAATTTGTGTCAAGTTAGTCATTTCATATAAAAAAACAGCTGGCGTGTCTTATTATTAATGTGACATGTGATCATTAAGTAACTATTTTTTACTGTTAAATAACGAATATGCCAACTATTTTTTGTACGAAAGAACCAACTTAAGGCTAAATCAATAAACAGTAGGGACAAATTGAGGGTTTGTACAATAGTTTAGGGACCAAATTTGGGGTTTAACTTAAAATCTAATATATAGTGGAAAGTGAGTAGCAAAGAAAGGTAGTGTCTAACGGGTGACAAATAATAGAAAGTGGAAAGTAAAAAGTGAATAATGAATAATAAATAATGGATTATGATTAATATAACTGTTTAATTATATAATAGTTAATAACTGTTATTTGACATTAAATAATTAATAAAGGCATCTTTAAAAACAATTAAATGTATTTTTCTTTTTATATTTTTTCATTATTAAAATTATAACTTTATAATAATAATAAAACAATATAAAATGATAAATTACACACTAATTTTTATTTTTAATAAAAAATTATATTATTTTTAAATAAAGAAAACAAAATTTTCATTTATTAAACTAATATAATTTATTTATAATAAGTTAATGTCAAATAAAAATATAATAATCTTAATGTTATTGAGAAAAAATAAAGTTAAACTAATTATATAAGTACTAATTATAAACGGCAAAAATTTTAAAAATTAAAAAGGAGAAATTGGTTAATAAAATTAAAAAATTCAAATTCATTAGTGGTTTGGTAAAACATATGTAATGTAACTTTTTTTAATCTGCTAGCAATTTAAACCATAACCACTATCTAAGAGTTCCTAATCACTAAATAAAAAATTTTATCAGACACCTAATTTGTAATGGTTTTAAAATAAAAAAAATTTATCAAACATTTATCCTATTGTGATATTATGAGCAAAATTGTTAACCATCACCGCTAGACCACTTTATTAAATGGGCCCTTAATAGAATTCTATTCAAGTGATTCAAAGGTAATTTCTCTTCATTAAAAGTTAGAAGTCTTAAGTTTAACCACATATCATGCAAGTAAAATGAGTTAAAGGATGAAAAAAGATTTTTCCATTGTATAATCTAAGATTTAAAAAGAACATAATTTTAATTTGTATTTGATTAATTTAAAATTGTTAAGGTTAATTAGAATTTACTAGGGACAACAATAGCTTTGTTGGTTTGTGTTGTGCTATATTATGGTAATAGTGTAAGTTTATATATATATATATATATTATTCTCTTTAAAATATATAAAATATTAATTAAAATTAACAAAAATATATAAAAAAAATTAATTAAAATTTAAGAATTAAAATTTTATATTTTTAAATAAGGTGATGTGTGTGAAATGGAACATGCAAAATATTGCCAAACAAAACCTAAATGTCTAAATTTGAGAATTATTTTGTCACTTAATTTTTAAAATTTTTCTTTTTATTTCAAAATTTTTTAACCTTATATTGACTAACAATAATTATAACCCTCACATAAAATTTGAAATATTAGTAATATCAACAATATAAGAGAATAATCATTATTAAAGCCAATTTTTAAGACCAAAATTTAGGATGAATTCATAATAGGTCATTGATTATAGATTACTAATTAGCATATTCTCCGATTCAATGCATTGCACACAACACACTTATTAAAAAATTATTTTTTTTAATATAAAATTAAAAATAAACAAATTTAATTATATAATTTTGCATACAACATATAAAAATTAACTAAACTAGTTATATTTATATTATATTTTAATAACTAAATTAAACAAGTATTAAAAAATATATTAAATTAAAAAATATAATAATTATTTTTCTTGATTACATCGTGAGTTCCATATAAGCCAACATAATTATTGGATGAAATATTGGTAAGAAAAATTTGTCCTAAAGTTTTATGTCAAAAACTATGGCTCAATATAAAATACTACCTTTGGTCCATTTTACTTATCACACTTTTATTTTGTATGATTATTAAGCAAATTACAAAGATCTACAAAATACACTTATTATTAGTTAAAATTTTATATTTATCCTTATAATAAGAGTACTTGCGAAGTTTAAATGTGTTTTTTAAGAATAAAGTAATCATTAATAGAGACAAAATTAAAAAAGAAGAGATTTTATATTTTGTTTTTAAGAAAACTTTAATACTATGTTAAAAATTAAAATTGACAAATAAATTAAACCATCCTTTTATATATATATATATAAAAGGAAAATGAACCCAACGCAGTGTATAACATGAGCTTGCCGTTGAGAGAGATGAATTAAATATGTCTTAGCGCATTTAATCATCTAATAAGACAAATTAAATGTTTAGCGTTTATTTAATTAATTTTAAGAATGTTACTCAAAAAAGTAATTTTAAAAAATGAGAAATATTATAATAATTGACCTCTCTATCGATGTTAGTAACATAGCCTTTACTCAGACGTGAGACCTAGCAACTTAAAATTCAATTACTCTATTTTTTTAGTTATTCTTCGTCTCAGAGAAATAATGAAGATGGCTTGGGAAATTAAAAAAATTAAACAATTTATTGAAATACCTGTTCATTGAAAAGTGGCATGTGCCTGCAACTTTTGTTGAGAGTACTCAGTTTTGGTAGACGTCGCAATCTCAAGGACCGTAGCACTTCCCCAAACTCTAGCTCAGTTGCTTCAACAATATCATTCCTGCCCCCTTGCACTTCGTCATCAACAATTACTTCCATATTGCTGCACCCTGTCACTGAAATTTCTTGTAGATGGAGAAGCTGCCTGGCTATAGAGGAAGAGAACAAATTCTTTACCTTAACACAACAATCAATAGTAATAATTCTTAAATTGTTAAAAGCTGTGTCTTTGAACCGGCCCTGAAATAACTTCTCCAAATTAATCAAATTCTGGAGAAATAATACTTCCAAGCTAGGAAATGCATTGAAAGGAACCCATTCCGCTGATTTAATGATATGTTGAACCCCTGGAGCATTACGGACATAGAGATACTTCAAATCAGGAAAACCTTCCGTATTTAACTCATCAACCACATTCTTTACACCTGCCAACTCCGTTAGATGTAGCTCTTCAGTCATCTTCAACAACATTTTAACTGAATAGTTAAAATTAATGGATGCATTTAAATGCAACTTCAATATTCTTGAGCTTCCAAAGGAACTATATTGGTCTACCCACTTACTTCCAATGAATATTTTGAATTTTTTCAAAATTTCAAAGATCATATCTTTTGGGATCACCTGAATATCAGGAATACATACCTCTAAATTAGTCAATTTCTTCAAATGCTTTAACTCAGCAAGGCTCGCATTTCTTTGATCTTCATTTTCCTCAACCTCCCATCCATCGAAGCTGTTTCCCAGCAACAGTTCCTCTAATCTGGACATATTTGCTAAGACGCGTGGGGGAATTATTTGGAGTTTGGTACAGTTACTCAAATCTAACAACTTTAGCCGAGTCAACCGCCCAATTTCCCTTGGAAGCTCTTCAACAGCAGCCCACAGAAGGCTAAGAATTTCTAAATTCTTCAGCTCTCCAATAATACGTATGTCCCCCAACACGCTGTGATGCAAACATAATGTATGGAGGTTCTGCAAGAGGCAAATTGATGAAGGCAGGGATGACATATGCATGTAAGTCAAATTCAATACCTTCAATCTTTGTATTCCCTTGAAAAAGTCTGACAGAATTTTAAGAGAAGGATCATTATTAACCAAACTAAAAAGAGTAAGCTGAGGACTTTCAAACTCATCAGGAAGCTCATTAATATTAGCCTTTTGCAGCCAAATCCATTTGAAATCTTTCTTTGTTTCCATGTCTGACCACTCTTTCGGTTCATGATCACCAGTTAGCAGCAACCCATGATGATCCCTAGATGCGATTGATACAGCCACATCATAAATAAGGTCATGCATATCAAAATAATCATTGCCACAATCATCAATGAGCAACGAAGAGGCTCTCAGCTGCCTTATCAAAGTAAGTACTTCATCTCGTGCTTCCTCTATGGTGTTAGCAAATAAGCCTAAGCCCACACCATACTTCAACAAGTCTTGAATGGCCGCCATGTGACCCATTAGGCAACAAAGCAAAAATGTTTTCTTGAGCTTCTCGCTATCCAAATGAGAGTAACTGAATTCAATAGCTGAATAAACAATTGCAGATATGCCATGGAAGTTTTCTGAAGAGGGCTTTCTCAGTTTTCTCAAAGCATCCCTCCATTCGTAAGGCTTCTTATTTTTCAGAGCCTTTGCCATTGTTGTAATTGCAAGGGGCAAGCCCCCACATTCCTGGACAATATCAGTAGCTGTACTATGTATGTCATCACTGTCTACTCTGTCACCAACTATCCTTTTAAGCAAGTCCCATGCTTCTTCAAATTGCAATTGATGAAGTGAAAAGTTCAGTGAAGAACCCATCAGATCTGATAAAACATCAGAATCTCTGGATGTCAACAGAATTTTGCATTCTACATGTTCTTCTGTTGACCGGCACCCCTCTACATGTTCTTCTGTTGGCGAGCTCCCCTCTACATATTCTTCTGTTGACGAGCTCCCCTCTACATGTTCTTCTGTTGACGAGCTCCCCTCTACATGTTCTTCTGTTGACGAGCTCCCCTCTACATGTTCTTCCCTTGACGAGCTCCCTTCGTTCTTTTTTGGCTCGTCTCTAAGAGGAATTCCAAGCTCCTCCAAATCTATTCCAGGCACCCAGATATCATCCAAAATGATTAAAACCTTCTTCATTTTCTTCAGCCTGTCTTTAATAAGTTCAGCAGCATCCTGGGTTGTAATTCCATTAGGAAGCTGATCTAGACCCAAGCCATGGGCAATTTCAACTTGAATTTTTTCCAATTCTGCATTCCTTGAAACAAGAGCCATACCCACCGCATCGAACAGCCTGTCTTGCTCTGCTTTTCTTCTTACTTCTTTGGCCAGCATCGTCTTCCCCACGCCAGGCATCCCGTGTACCCCTATAATGCTGCTGCCTTGACTTTGCAGTGCCTTCATGATCCTCTCTAGAACATCCTCTCTTGAGTAAAAGTCCTCGAAACCTTTGACACGCAGGGGCACTTCTTTTGGTGGAGGAGGAATGTGGGAAAGTGAGAGGTTGAATCCACGAGCTTCATTCACAAGTTTATCAATAGTCTCGGAATTCTCCTTGGCTTTTTTGCTGAGTTGGTAACGAGATTTGGGATTGAGAGACAGCCCAAAGAAACACTTCTTCTTGGCATTTCCTTCAGCATCAGCTACTAATTTGTCTGCGGCTTCAATGCGATCGTTGGCGCTGGTCAGCCAATTCCTGAGCTTTTGTACAATCTTTTCCCCCCTTCTTTCCACAGCTTCAGCATAGTTCTCCGCAGTGTCTTTCTCATCCTTTAGCTTGGCAACTTTGTTCTTCAAATAGTCAACATTATTGTCGCACTTGAACACAAGAATAATTGGCCTTGAGATAAGAGTGAAAATTCCACTAAACAAGTTCCCAACAAAATTTCCAGCAGCATTCTGACAAAACGCACAAAAACAGGGCTCGGGCATCTTCTTCTTTTTTTTTTTTTTCTGAGTTTGGAAAAATATATAGGTGCCAAACAAGAATAAAGACACAATTGGAACAAAAGAAGCAAATGAATCAGATGAGGGTATGAAACAAAGGATGAGAATAGTGAAAATAAGCTGATTTTTAGTAAAGGGAGGTAAAATGAGGTGCAGAGAGTAGCGGAAGAAGGATTGATCCGCGCAAACAATGGAGGGAACGAGTTGGGATGAAATCAAATCAAATCAAATCAAATCAAATGAAAAGAAAGGGTGAGGATGAGGTGATCTGTGTAAAGGGATGTGAAGATGCTGTGCAGAGAGTAGCAGCAGAAGATGATTGAAAAAAGGATTGAATAGAGAAAATGATGGAAACATGTTGGATGAAAGCAAATCAAATGAAATGGCGACGAAAGTAGGGCTGAAAAGAGGGATCGATTGAGCAAAAGCATAGCCTGAGAGGAATCAAAGTGATCCTGAATGATTTGTTTTGTGCAGAAAAAAGAAGTCGATGGCTAAGACTGAAGGCTGAGGAAAGGCCACGAGGCAGGGAAGAAAACTCTGTAACGTTAAGCTGGGGAAGAGAAATTAGTGCTGCTGAATATAATATTGATTGATTATTATAAAATTTTTTAGAAAAAATTTTTTTTTTTTGGTGGCAAAAGCACTCGAGAAAAATTTAGAACAGCTTCAACTTTGTCGGGAAAATTTATAAATAAAGATTTTAATTTTTATATTTTATGAATTTAAAAATATTAATTTTATTAATTTTTAAATAAAAATATTAATTTTAA